GTGTGTGTGTGTGTGTGTGTGTGTGTTGAACTGTCATTCACCTCATTTCTTCCTCTTGAATAAATATTGAACAAACTGAAGCTCGACACTAACATGTTGCTGCCAGCGCCCCCCACAGGCGGCAGTGTTCAACACACAGCTGAGGTTTCAGAAGGATTCACCACGACTCACCCCCGTTGGTCACTTCCTGAGAGGCAATGACGAATCCGAAGCCCTCGCCCGGCCGCCTCCTCAGTTCCACCTCCATCGCCTTTACACCCCTACTCCCGTCCTTGGCGATTGCTCCCAGGGCTCCTCCCCCTCTGTTTGCAGGAGGCCCACCAGCGCTCTCCTGAACTCCCAGCAAATCCCGTGGCTCCAAGGTCAGTGTCACAGGAACCGAGTCCAGGAAACTGGTGCTCTGGATGAGGGCCGAGGCTTGGGGTCCGTTTGGTGTCTGGGAAGGAGGGGCCCCTGGGAAAACAAAGAGGAGGGACAATAAAGAGGAGACGGACATTATGACTCGATGAACATGAGAATGAATCGCCTGCCTGGCTCAGTGGCACAAAGGTGCATTTACCTTGGTGGGTCCCCGGGGCTGGTAGATGGCCCTCCTGGGGACTCTCGAGGACCAAGCCAGCCTGGCTGAGTGGGGGGACACCCCCCACCAAGGCACCCGTGGACGGTGAAGGCAATTCAGCTGAAGAGGGGGTAGTGGGGCCATGAGGGGAGGGGAGGGGCTTGTAGAGGTTGGGGGTGACGACCGGAGAGGAGGCGGGACCTGGGGAGGGGGAGGTTATGAACAGTTAGTTAGAAGCTGCAGTGACACCTCTCATGATGGGGGGGGGGGGTGTTATTGAGTCGTACCTCCTCTGTAGACCAGCAGCACCACCTCCCCCTGCTTGGTGTGTTCCTGCAGGATTCTCTGCACCTGAGGGAGGAAGTGAACTCGTGTTATTACTCCACATGTTTTAAAGGAGACATCGAGTCATGTGACTTTCCAGTGATTCCGAATCACCGCTCTACACCTGAGATATTTGGATTCTTCCAGTTTCACGTCCGTCACGTGTTAGAAACCTCATCAACACGTCCACTCGCTCACTCACATTTTACTGAGGGGGGGGGGGGGCTGCAGGAAAAGTTCCAGTATATCTGACCTGGAGCCTCATTTGTTTCAGAACAGTTCAGGAAAATGTCCGGACGTCTAAAAACAGTTTGTACTTTGATCCTAAAGTTCCAAATGACCAGCAAAAGAAGTGAAACCTTCAGAATCACCTGTGTGAATTCAAAAGTGTCCACATCAGGACACCACAGAAGAAGAACATCTGAGCGACTGACGCCTCATTAACTCGACTACAGGTTCAGGTCGAACATTTTGATTGCTTGTGTTATTCTTATTGGCTCGATGAGTGATGACCTTGTACCTGTGAGAAGCTGAAGCTCTGTACGTCCGCTCCGTTGATCTTCACTATAGCATCTCCTGTCTGCAGAGAGGGACACTGCCGTCGATCCCAGACACGTCTTACTATTGCCAGCTGACCCCCTTGACCCCCTGCTGCCACACTGAACCCCAGCCCCCCACCTTCACTGCGTCCCAGGGCCACTGGCACAAGCTCCCCACTGGAAGCCGACGCTGCTGGCGCTGCCCCGAGAGGGAGCGCGAGCCCTGAGGTTCCTCTGGAGGGTAGGGGGGGCGCTTGGTGACTGGCCGGGCAACCGTTAAAGCCACAAGGTGGGATGTCTCTGGGTGGGGTCAGGGCGATGGAGGTCTGGGGCATTGGCGAACGCTGCACAGGAGCCCCGGGTGGTGTGCCGGAGGGAGGGGGGCTGTTAACGCTGGTGGGGCTGGTGGAGTTCTGGTGGAGGGCGGTCTCAGGCTGAGAGAGGGGCAGTTTGGACAGAGTGTTGGAGGATGAGGACATGATGGGGAGGGTGGAGGAGGAGATGGGGAGTGTGGACGTGGACAGGTCACTCTCTGACGACTTGGAGCTCTGATGGTGGAGGAGGGAGGAGGAGGAGAGGGTGGGGAGGGTGCTGCTGTTGTAGCGAATCAAGGAAGACCTGGGAGGAGGAGACAGTAAACATCAAACACCATAAAGAGACGACCAGCGACCGAAGACGATCAATGACATAAACGGCAAAAAACAAAAAATTGTTAACGTAAACTTTGATTTTTTAGTTTGGTCCATGTCCCATCCACGAACATGGAGGAGGCAGGGTTCATGACCTTTACTGCAGTAAGCCACAAGGGGGCGATCCAGATGATCATGTCCTTCTTCTTTATTTACAGATTTTGTGCTTAATCAACTTCGGCTTTTCGTGGCTAACACGGCTAACGCTAACACTGACCTTCGAGTTCCAGCGCTGGACAAGCCGCCATCAGAGTCACTGTGATTGGCTGCTGTCACGTCTGGAGGCGGTGGACCCAGTGGTGGATCAGAGGAAATGGGAGTGGGCGGGCCTGTCAGCCCATTTGTCATGGGCTGAGCAGGATAGGAGGGCGGGGTCTTCCCCATTCCTGGATTTCAGAGTAAAGGAGACGAACGTTATTAAACTGAAGGATCAGATCAGCTGATCAGAGCTGAGTGAAGAATAACTAATGACTGAACCCAGTCAGCCCCCCCCCCCCCCCCCCCAACCTAGAGAATTGTACATTTATGTTCGAGCTGCCTTCAACAAACTCCACTTCCCATAAGCCCGAGTGGTTCTCTGGTTAATTAGAGACCAGAATAATCAGATCTCGTGTTTATAGCTTTTCTAACTTTAATCTTTCACACTTGTCAGGTTGATGGCAGAGCGACCTGATGTGCTGCCGTTGGAATCCAGCGTGCAGCTGTAGGTGAGGTGTGCTGGGCCTCTGTTGAGAGTGGGGGGGTTGGAGGGCTCGCTGAGGGTCTGCGGCTGTTGGCGGAGGTTGAACATACGATTAGTAAGAGGAGTGATAACATTAGCACAGCTGAGATGGATCCTGTTTCCCTCCAGGAACTCGTACCGTCTCCAGACTCTGCTTGGGACACCCGTCGGGGTTGTAGAGCATCGGGTATCCTCTCCTCAGCACCACGTCCACACTCTGACCCATCGGCACCGACTTCAGCATCTCCACCACCTCTTTATGAGAGCGGCCCAGCACGCAGCTGTCGTTGATGTAGACCAGGATGTCGGCTGCAGGAGACGACCCACAGGTATCAACACATCATGTGACCATGTGATCAGGTGACTGAACAACACAAGTCGAATTTCTTGAAAAACAAAATCTATTATAT